GATAAAATAACACAGAACAGAAGGAGACCAGTTAGACGAAAAATGCATATGTATAAGGCCATGATCAAGTAATCTCCTGTTACTCTTTCTCATCCTTCTCAAATTCTCACGTGGATTCAGTAAACCTAAATCTAAGATAGTTCTTCAGAGATCTTTGTAGAATCTCGATAGATCCAAGGGATCTTCTACGTACTACTACGGCACAATCTATAAAACAAAGTTTTTTTCACATATTTTTGGTCCAATTTGACAAAAAAAAATTATGATTTTTTCAAAAACCCATGTTAGTTTTCTGGAGACCCTATCTCGGTGAAATCTTACTCCCGCCCGACGGCGCACATATGGTTCGATAGATCTTCTGATGCTCTATCAAATGAGATGTTCCACGAAGTCCAGAGTTCTCTATAAATGGAGTTTTTGCTCCTGGAATACTCGGCTATTGAAAAGGGTTTCCAGAGACTCTTCGTTCAGAGATGAGTCCAAAAATTTTTTAAAAATAGTGATTCTGATAGCCCTGATGATAAGGAATCCAAATCTATCAACAGAATTTCGATAGCACAAAGTAGTGCAAAACTAGCAGTGTTACAAAGAATAAGATACTTTAAAAAACCGTTCCGGAGGGTATTTGGTATTTTGGCTACAGCTCTTGAACAAGACGTCGTATAAATTTTGTCCAAGAGCAAAAAAGTCTTAGAAGTGACTATTACACAAGCCCTGAAAGTTTCAAACGATTTGGTGAATGTTGTATTTTTTTGTCACAAGTACCATGGAAGTAGCCATGAAGATTTCCATAGATATATATGGGAAAACATCGTAGTAGGCAACTTTCTCATGTGATTTCGGGCACTTGCCCAGTACTTTGGAAGCAACATTTTTATACCAAAAGATGCGCCTTTTCACGCTCTACAACATATCAAAAATCTGCTTTAGGCTCTCAAGGCAAAGTACCTAAACAGTGACATACAAGATAAAAAAGTCATATTCCAAAAACTGAAAAATTGACCATTTTTGAATATTTTATCTATAATAAAATATTTTGGTCAATGTGATGGGATGTAAAAATGATCAGGTTTTGTAGAGCTGACTCCACTCTGTAGTTTGGTATATGATGATAATGTCTTCAGTCAACTTTTCATGATAAAAAAATTCATGAAAGAAAAACTTGAAAAATCTTCACTTTTGTATACGAGCGACATCCGAGAGAAAATTTCCAGCCGTCAAAACACGAGAAAGGTTTGACCAGCAGCGTTGAAAATTTGTATTTATGGGTAACTTTTTGTGCTCTTCCAAATGAGATATTCAGTTTACAAAGTCAAAATTTTTCGGCAATGTCGTTGGGTGGTGATCTCGTGGACGCTCTCTTAATATCTACTATTTATTTTTAATTTCTTAATTAATCTCTTTTGTAGATGGTCCACCAGCAAAACAATCGAAAAAGAATCATTCAGGTGATAAAGATTCATCATCATCAACTAATAAAAACTAATAATCGTGTAGTTAAAAACACCAAAGTCACATAAACAAAAATAAGAAATCATCATCAATTATATAAACATTGATTAAACAGATGTTCCTTTTTGATATTGTACCAATAATTGTAGTTCTTTTTTCTTTTTATTATGTACTAGTACAAATACCTCTATACCATATTTTTTCTTCAAAATTCTCTTCATAATCAAGTGTATGTGTATTACTTTTTCTTTATATCATTCTTATATTCAATCTGACTTGTCTCTGCGAGTGTCTATATGTATGATTGATTAGAACATGAAAATATACAATCTTTCGTGTAAAAACATCAGAAATAGATGTATGTCTACATCCAATATTTTTCCTTGTCTTAGTTGTATGATATTGAAAAAAAAAGAATTGTGTATACATAACAAACAGTACATATTCGCACATATACATATGATCATTCGCCAACAAGCAAAGTATATCAATTGTAATATCAAAGAAAACAAAAAAAAAACAACATTTTTTATTTTAAACGAAATTATCTAGTGGAAGAAAAAAAAAGAAACGAAAGAGTTTATGATATATGTATATATAAACAGTAATGGCACGTTATTTGAGATTGAACAAGGAGAAATGACGATTACTATTATTATTATTAATATGTTGATTTAGAAAAAACCAAGTGACTTTTTAATATTTGTTTGTTTCCAATATGGTAAAGCATAAAATTCATCTTTAGTCATACGAAATTCTTTCTAAAAAAAATATCAAAAAATAAAAAAGAAAAGGAAAACCTAGTTTAAAATAAAAAATAAAATAATCATACTTGAAAATCATCATCCGATAGATAAAATTCTATTTTTGATGTATTCACACCTTTAAAAATAAAAGTTTATTTTATAAAAGAAAAAAAAAGAAAAATTTTAAATTCAAACCTTCTGGTAATGGACGAGCTCGAAGTTCTTCAATAGTATACTGTTCAGGACATAAATATGTAAGCATATCAATAACTGAATCTTTTTGATCTAATTTTTTTCCTTCCTAAAACAAAATGAAAATTTCATATATACATTGAAAAATTAGACATGAAAGAAAAGAACACAAACCACTTGATTTTGTTGTCGAACTTTCATATGAATCGTTCATTTTAAAAATAAATTAATAAAACCAATAGGTTCTACACCAGCATATACTATAGAACAAGGTAAATCAACAGTTGCTGAACCAGTTTTTGCTAAGCAAAAAAAAAAGCAGAGAAAAATTTCTCATTCAAATAAAACTTAAAAAGAAAAAGAATTTTACCTTTACAATATTCAACAGCTGTAAGAAAAGCACAACGACGTTCAGCTGTAAAACGTATATCTCTTGGACTACCAGCTTGTATATTTGCATTATAAAGTTGCAAATCAAGTTCATCATCAGATAAATCGTTCCATCCTTGCCATATATATAATTCTGTATCAGTATCAATTAAACATAATGCTGGTTAATGAAGTTCATATAAATCTGCTTGTGTAAATAGAAATGCTGATATAATTATGATCCGGTGATCGAAGAGGATAAACAAGTTCTTGAGCAACAAATGGACAGGCTTCTGATTAATTACATGATATGTTATTTAAAAGTAAATGAAAAGTAGAAATTAATATGAATAATTTCTTTTTTTTGGTGATTATTAATTGTTCTTTTTTAAGTATAAATTCATTACTGCACTATATTTGGTAGTTCACAATGATGAAAATGATTATATATGTGATTAAAAAAACCCATTGAATAATCAGCATAATAATATATATATAAAAGTGAACGACAAACTTCTACAAATTTTTTTATCGAATCTCCCTGCATTACTATGAAGTCCATCGATGACAATCTAAAACTTTGATTGCTTATTTTACTAACTTACAATAATGCGGGAAAAATATCTTTTAACAATCATATTAGTATTGAACAAATTTTAATATTTCCGCCTTTCGTACATTTTTTTTATTAAACTTTTCAATTTCAACTCTATTATAGTCTTACAATGAAAAATATACCTATCAACAAACAGAAGAATATAATAGTTTAATGTTATTGAAGCCATACATGAAGTATTGGGGCATTAGTATGTTCTCGAAGATCCTCCATTCGATATGCACGTTTACAATGATTCGGAAGATCACGCATTTTTGACTCCTGTTCATTTTCACCAGTTAAAACACCATGAAAAATGATAAAATTCAATTTTGACAGACCATTTATTAGTATATGTAATGTTTCAGGAACTTGACTACCATTATGACAGTTTAACTCTATGATTTCCAGATGTGGCAATTGTTTCACAATTAAAGAAACAATACCTATTATATCTGGATAGTCCCAATCCGTATAAAAATGTAGTTTTTTTAATCCATTTGACATGAGTATATTGCATAAAGAAGTATCATTGAAAAGTTTGATTACATTCTGCTTGTTTCTTTCATCATCTAAATCATGATCGAATTGATAAAAAAGCTCTAGAGTACGTAAATGAATCATTTTTGATAAGAGTAAACGTAGTTGATATAAATCGAATGAATTATAAATTGTAAGCGAAGTAATTTGACGGCAAGAAACTATAGTTAGTAAGTAAGAGAGAAATTCGACATTGGTTTGAGAAGATCTACCATTCAATGCTATTGTATTGATACACGTCAAACGATTATTTAAAGCTGTTGATAAAGTACATGACCAATGACTTTGTCTAAATAATTTAGAAAAATCATTTTTTATAAGCAAATGAAATTTATACATACACGTGAACAATGTTTTTATTTAAATAGGTATAAGCACATAAATATTTATCCTTTCGTGGTAATGTGAAAGCTTTAATAGAATAACTATCATTATATAAAAATAATTCTAATTCGATTGGTATTCGTCCTTTCAATTGTTGCAATGCATTTAACAAAATACTACTTGCGTTCGATAATGATATCGTAGTTTTCACAAACCAGTTAACAATATATGTATATGAACACTGATGACAAAGCATTGATAATAACTTGGAAACAACATTAGGTCCAGTCACTATCCCTTCTAATGTGAATTTTGTCAATGAAAATAAAACATCATGATCAAATAATTTATCAAGCAGTTCCATAGCATTAATATCATATTTTAATGTTATTTTAAGACAACGTAGATTAGGAACCAAACGTTTATCAATACGAAACATTTGACTGAAATAGATTAATAAAAAATAATCATAAATACATGATATATTATTTCACATTTTATTGAAATAAAAAAATACTCTTTTCCATTGTTCATCTACACCATATCATATAGTATCAATGTTCTATTTATACATAATAGTTTATATTTTTAATATAAAAACACTTCTCTTGATAATTTATCATCGATGAAAATTTTTTAAAAAAACTTTCCATAGAACAATTTTCTATCATATCATCATGTATTGTATCATAGTCATAAAATAATGAACTTTTTATTTTACTCAGCTTTTGTAGAACTCACGTAGATTTTCGAAGAAAATAGTGAGTATAAGTTTTAAGGTCAAGATTTCGCGGCTTCCCCTACTCCACCCCTCCGCTCTTACAGACCATAGCAACGAAAGAGAATATTAGAGACCTTAGCGATCAGGTTTAAAAAAATGAATATACATAAGCACATATATATATATATATATAATAGCTTCATTCGCCATATAATTCAATGCTTCTCATAATATAAATGTAAAATTAAAGAAAAAAGTAATGTTAAAAATGAAAAACACTGAGCGAATAGCAACAAAGCAAACGAAAGATAAAGGCACCTGTCAGAAAAGTGAAAAATGCTTGATTTTATGCTACCTATATTTTGAATCTTAGTGCAATGAAGCTGAAGAATCTACGTGAGTTCCACATTTCAGCCTCAAAGGGGCTACGCTAGCGGCATCATCAGAAAATTGACCATGATAGTGCTCAGCTCGCTCTCCAGATTTTTTTTTGACAAACTTTTGAGTTCTTAGAAAAGTGTTTTTCTCAGCATCATCTTGTGTCTCTCTTGGATAAAGTAGCCAAAGTCAGTTATCAACATTATCAAAGAGATTTTCTAAAAGAATTGTGTTTTTTAAAGACCAATCAAAAAGGAAGTTCTTCTGGTATGAAAAGATCCTGTATGAAGAATTATTTTCTGTTAGATTTTGATTTCTTTGAAGGAAATAAAGAGACAGAAATCTGTCTTATACTTTTATGTTTAACTGACAATTGCATCAAGTGTGAAAAAATTTTCGCAGTTATACGGAATTCTTCGATAGTACAAGAGATTAAAATGTTTCATTCCAATAGTTTTTGACAAAAATTTTGCAAGATAGAAGTACTACTGTTTGACTTCGACTTTTGATAATATAGAGAAATTGTATTTGGCTGAATTCAAAATAGTGTTTCTTATCTGTTACAATAGGAAGTCTCTTCAAACACCGAGCTAATATATTCTCGTCTTTTTTCAGGCATTCTATTATAACTATAGATAAATGTACTCCTCTACTCAGTATTTTCAAATTAATCTATCATGATTTTTGTACGAAATCATTCAGTAGAAATGATTCTTGGTTAACAAAACCTTTTTATGTTACATGTTCCACTTATTGTTAGCAGTAACCTGAATCACTAAATTATGTTTTGAGGATTCGATTACTCGGGAAAACCGCGGGAAAGCAAAATTCAAAGCTCTGTTTAAGCGAGGAATGTTTGTAGGGCTTGCTCTTATGCGTTAGTTACTCGAGAATCTGTGCTCGTAGTAATAATACTATCTAAGATAATAATGATAGTTTCAAATAACATCCATTTGAATTAGAAATAAAAAACTCTTACCGAAACAATCATGATAAAACTTTCTCAATAGTACGTGTCACTACTGAAATGCTCTGTCAAAATGAACTTTACTAGATGATTTTGCCGAGAGAAGAAGATTTTAAAATAGGAACAAATTGAAAAAGATTGGAAAGGAAACTTAGCAATGCATTGCATCATAGTTCGATTAATCTTATGATGTTTGAAAAATGCTGGTTAATTGGTTCGTACTGTATATTAGAGTTATATTCGTAGTGCATTCACATTTAGTATTACGCGAACCATCAAATATGCTGTTTTTTTTTCTTATCTGGTGGCACTTATATGACTCAATTACTGTGAGATTCTGTCAATATACTTATGGATACTTGATCCTGTTGGTGCTAATACAATTGCTATTTCAGATGATATAATCAAAATAGATACAGTTACTATGAATCGTTTTTTTGGTCTTTGGAAACTATTATTAATCTCATCTAACACAAGATATTTAAAAGAAAGGAGTATATTATTCGACTTGAGTTTTTAGAATTTATTATTCTATATGAAGGAATCTATTTAGAATGCTTAAGATGTTTCATGCACTCTTTTACTTTGGAAAGACTAATTAAACACATTTAATAGAATGAATTCATATATAGCTCTCGTGTGTTGTTTATGAATCAATGTTGTTGCTTTGTGAATACCTCACATTTATTGTTTAACTCACATTCTACGTTCCCTTGAATCCTAAGAATTATTGAAAGCATTATTCTGCCATAGGTCTTTCAATTTTTGATAAGAAACAATTTCTCAAATTCTGGAGTGATAGGACTCAAACATACGGTGGTAGGGCTGAGCCCTCCCTGGCCCTACCCTAGTGACGTCGCTAGGCTGTGCTAACAAACTTTTTTCATCGTCTAATTGCGGCTATTGACACTTATTTCGAAGATGTTCTTCCTTTGACTAATATTTAACTAAATATATTATTGGTATAAAAAATCTATAAATAAAATCTAAAAGAAATTTATTAATGGAAGATTAACAAATAATTAACCAATATTATGAGTATATTTTCATAGACAATCTATATTTATTTAACTATTTATTATCAAATATCCACAAATGTGAACATCAGAGACTTGCTATAACAGGATAATTTATTGCATAAGAAAAAAAACATTTCTTTTTTCTCATGTAAACTCGTATTAAAATTCAATGGTTACAGTTTAAAAAAAAACAATTTTTTGATGTCGAAACTAATCAAGAGTATTTGAATTTTAAGCTTATTTTGCAAGATTAACTTTTGACAATAATTGATTAATGACTTTTATTGAAAGAGAATGATTCTATATTATAACTTATTTTGCAGTATGCTATAGTATTTCTTCAAGATTTCATTCATTTTTATTTCATAGTAATCTTAAAGTTCTGTGTTCTATAATTTTTAGACAAAAAAAAATTAGAAGAATTTTTCTTTCAAAAAAACAGACCGATTGAATCATACTTGTATTGTGATTAGAAATGAGTTGATTGTCTTTTACTAATGAATAACATAGTAATCTGTATGTTGATCTCATTGAAAATAAAAACTACTGCTTACTTCTATCTTCTTATATTCATTGAGTTCATTAAAAAATTATTAAAATAACTCTGAACTTTTTCAAATTATCATCCTTAGAATTAAACACTCCAAAGTCAATAAACATTGTTGAAAAAAAAAAATATTATCAATTTAGAAATGATAATCACTTCTAACTATTATCTATTATAGTAATATGATTACATGAATTTACATAAGTATATTATATAGATTATTTTGTTTTTAACAAAAGAAACTTACTTTTTATAATTATTCAATAATGGATGTTTATCAGGTAGCCAAGGAGTACTTTGATCAAAGCTGAGTTCTTCCAATTGTGGATAATATTCAAGTAAATGTGAGAGAAAAGCTGGTGAACATTCTCGAAGTACAAGTGATTGTAAGTGTAAATGATTTGTTTCAATCGGTATAAAAGTTTTATTAAGTGGTAGAACTATTTGAGTGTCTAGAGTGTTGTATATATCCCGCCTGAATCGAAGGCGACATACACGTAATAAAGGAAATAAACGAAAGATTCTTTTATAATATGCACCCTCAGATACACCTTTAAATGTATATGCAGCTTGATAGTATTCTGTATAATGTACGTTAAATATGACGAGAGATGTGTTAGGTGTAGATGTATTGAGCATTAATTCAAAACAAGAACGTTTAATATCGATTAAAGATAAATGACGAAGATTGATAAATGCAGATAAATTAGATGCTAACCATAAACCATTATCAATAGCTAATGTATGTGAGACACACAATGAAATAAGCCGATCACATACATTTGGTTGTAATAAATGTGCATAATAAAATTCGGTGACAGCAATACTCATACCATTCAAACCTAAGTTAGCGCGAATAAATGGTATATTGCTAACGATAGCAGTAAAACGAGGATTGAGATTAGAAAAAATATTGAATATTTCATGGAACTGGAAATAAATAAATATCTCATAGAATAATTCGACAGAGAGATCATCCAATTTTGTTATCATATTTTTTTTTTAAATATCATACGATTGAATGCTGTGTATCATTCTTATTTAATAGCTTCGTAAACAATAGCACAATGTGGTTATTGTTCTCTTTGTCAACAATTG